TCAGATTTCTTTTTCTTTTTTACTCCGACGGAGGACTAGCGTCCGAAACGTCAGTAAGTTTATTCATCTTTTCACACGGTGTATAATTTACCTTTTCATCTTTACTGTTTCATTAGAAACACCGACGCAGCTCACACTAGTTTTTAGCTAGTTATATCTTCTCGATTTCTTTTCTATTTATTCATTAAACGCTCAGCCTGAATGATCAATATTGACTCGTAGCAGACGATGAGGACAAGAGGCCTAATTGTTTTAGAGTGAAACGAAGTTGTATAATTAGTGACTAAAAGTAAAGCTAAAACAGAAGAATACGATGGAATTGACCTTATTCGTGGTATGACAATGTTTTCCCAATTCAGCGTTACAAACCTCTGGGGGAATGAAGAGAAATTGTTTTGCAACTAGTCGGGATATCATCGTTATTCCTTTCGTATCCTTTGGGATACTCATGAATTTTTCGAAGAGTAATGAATCCTCTGGAGGTTTGTCACGCTGAATTGGGAAAACATTATCACACCACGAATAAGATCTATTAGTGTGTGTTACTATGTATACGTTGACTATTCTTTCACGGGCAAAGGAAAATCATTCTAGTGTAAACCTACTTATTGGTCAAATAAATGCACACAAACAACTTTGAAATTAGGCTGAAATGATTGACTTTTTTCTTTTGATTTTCCTACTTTTCGCTAATCAGTATCTCAGCCAATCAGAGCGCAGGATTCGTGATAGATTATTAGCTGAATTAATATGGTTTACAATGCTAAGCCTTTTTAAAACCGTTAAAATTTTCACCTTCCTTTTTTTAACGAAATTAGTTTTCACAAGAGTTTCGCGATGAAGATTGAAGAAAAAAGTATAGGACCTGTAACCTGAATGACGTGCTGAGCTAAGATACATTGAAAGTCAGCGCTTCTAATCCAGCGGTTATCGATATTTATTAGACATAATCCAAAATGGCGTCTTTTTTACAGGAGAAGTTTATCAAGTAATGGATGAATTTGAAAAAGAAAAGTCCGAATCAAAATATGGCGACCAATTTGAATAACTATTGTTCTGTACTGACTAGCGACTGACTAGCCTCGTGTTCACGAGGAAACATAAAAGCGTTTTCACGTGTATGAGAGGCTAGTCAGTCGCTAGTCAGTCAATGCAGAACAATAGTTATTCAAATTGGTCGCCATATTTCGATTCGGTGTATTGTGAAAATAAAAAAATCATCAGACGGTTTAAAGAAGAACTCTCGAACTGACTAGAGCTGTTCTGAAAAAGTACACGCTTGGCAAAGGACCGAAAACGAAGTATACATTCCATATTTGTTTGGCACTTAGGTTTTTCACTGTGACAACAACTCTTTTGGAAAATAATTTTTTTTTCGTTTCACAGAAAAATATGTTTACAGTAAAATTCTTGTTTCGTGAAGAATAATCTGGAGACATCTGCATGAATTTTTTGAACCTTTCAACGCTACAAATTTTGCAGGGTCACGTCACATGAAAAAAACTCAAAAGCCGAGAGAGAAATAAGTCAGTTGAGCAGAACTGCTTTTATATCGAAGACCTTACAATGGTGCCTTCACAGTCTCCTACACCATCTTAAAAGATAGCCTTGCCTGTGCTTCGAAACGAGAAAGGCCGTGCCTGGCAATTATAGACACCTTTTTTAACACCTTGGACAATTATTCACTTGTAAATAAAGACAAAATTGTGTCTGTATTGAGATACTGGTTTATTTGCTTGATTCAATCCCTTATTTATTCATTGCCATAGAGAAGTACACTAACTATATAATAATGGACAGTTTATTTGCAGATAAAACTAAATAAACCAGGCCCTTAATTAATCCGCCCTCCCCCCCCTCCCCCTCAAGTTTTCAACTTGGGTGGTTTCAATAATACTCGTCCCTTTTTTCTTATTCAATTTTCTTATATCCCATTTTGCTTCCCACTTTGTTTCCCATTTTGTTCACATTTCAATTTTTTTGTATTTTAGATGCTTTGACTTGATCTAACTAGGTGTTTCCTTTGAGGTAAGTATCGTTGTTCGCTTGCGTGACCAAATGTTGTCATGGCAGCTGTTGATCTTTGTTGGGAATTTTGGGCGATCTTTTTTCCTTTATTAGATCTTCTTTAAGTTTTTCTTCTTTTGTAAGAACAACATTTTGAGGATTTTTGGATAATGAATCTTTTTTGATCACTAAGAGAAGATTCAAAAATAAAATACAATAAAAAAGTAACAACAACAACAACAACAAAAAAACAAAAARCAAAAAACAAAAAACAACAAAAATATTGATGATAATAGTATATTAATAATACTTTTCGAAACAAAAGTAAAAATAGAAATTAAAAAGCAATTAGAAATAAAATTTTTTATCTATTATCTTAATAAATAAACATTTCTTAGTTTTGATAGTTCAAGAAAATGAGATAAAGACCGTTCTGTACAATGAAATGGGATATCCCCCCCCCCCCTCATAATTATATAGTTTTATTAATATTCATTATGTTATTAGTTTTTGGTATATAAAAAACTGTTAAAGTGTATATCAAGGGGAAAATTATATTTTCAAATCACTTTCTTTCTTTCTTTCTTTCTTTCTTCCTTTCTTTCTTTCTTTCTTTCTTTCTTTCTTCCTTTCTTCCTTCCTTCCTTCCTTCCTTTCTTTCTTTCTTCCTTCCTTTCTTTCTTTCTTCCTTTTGTTCCTTTCTCTCTTCTCATTCCTTCCTAGCTTCATTCTTCCCTTCCTACTTCTCTCCCTTTAATTTATTTATTGATTATTTTTCCTTTTCTCAGATTTAGACTATGCTTAAATAAGTATGGATCTAAAGAACAGGGTACTTAAATTTCTTATATTGCACTAGTTGATTCTACTTACTTGTCGGAAGCGGAATCGAGGTTGTTAAGAACACTATGAAGAAGAAAAAAACAACAACAAAAGAACAACAAAAAGCACATTAGATAAAGTAAGGTAGTGTCAAAGGTTGTGTAGCAGTACTAGTACACTCACCTCTCACCTCTTGGGTCTCAGGTTTGATTCCTGGACTCAACATTACATGTGAGTGTTAGGTGTAATGAGTGTATTTACTTTGGCGATGAAATCAATAAAATGAAATAAGATGATATAAGATGAATAAAATGAAATRAAATGTAACAAAATAATAAAAAAAAATATTTAGCTTTAGAAGATAACCGAATAATATAGATATCGGACTACGGCCTCATCCAATTTTGGAAGTCCTCGGAATTTTTCTCGTCCAAATATTTTTTAATTGGACAGCATGGAGTCCTATTACATATATTAATATTATCCACGGCTCTCTGGAAGAGCATCAGTTGTATGAATGAGATTCCGTGTTGAAATAAAGTGTATAAATAATGTATAGATATTTTTCTATCAGTACTTACAGTAGTTCTCGCAGTTTCTCCCAGTATATCCTGGACCACACTGACAGCGGTACCCATATTTCGAGGTTTTAATACATTTGCCATTATTACGACACGGCTGAGATATGTCACAGATATGATCTATAATCACTGTAAAACAAAAAACAAGTTTCTTTCTTTGACCAATCATAAGGTATCTTATATATCTATAGGACTGATATTCATGACGGCGTAATTGCTACATATTTTATTCATTTTTACATACGTCTAACATTATCATATCATGACACCACGTGTCATTCAATTCTCTTGAGAATCAGATTCTTTGTTTGAGTTGTATCCATATTCATGTGTCTTCTCATGTGCAACTGTTAAACAAAGAAATGATACTCTAGGGAATGACACGTGGTCTTGAGAATATTATTCTTTGTTTGAGTTGTATCCATATTCATGTGTCTTCTCATGTGCAACCGTTAAACAAAGAAATGATACTCTAGGGAATGACACGTGGTCTAGAGAATAAGATTCTTTGTTTGAGTTGTATCCATATTCATGTGTCTTCTCATGCACAACCGTTAAACAAAGCAATGATACTCTAGGGAATAACATGTGATGTGAAATGGGAAAATAGTGAACTAGGTCTATAGCCTACTTACAACTAACTTAATCATACTTACAACTAACTTAATCATACTTCCAATCATAACTTCATAATTAATACTCACACATAATTGTTGATGTTGATTGTACTGTAAATCCAAGAAGACAACAACATTATTTAAACTCACGAATAACATAACAATATAAATAATAGATTGGTTCCTCACCACTCCCCTGATTTGTACAGCGCATACAAGAAATAATACTCAAGGGAATGACATGTGGTCTGAGATGGGAAACATTACTGATGAAGAAAGAAATAATACTCAAGGGAATGACATGTGGTCTGAGATGTGAAACATTACTGATGAAGAAAGAAATAATACTCAGGGGAATTACATGTGATATGAGATGGGAAAACATTACTGATGAAGAAAGAAATAGTACTCAAGGGGATAACATGTGGTCTGGGATGGAAAACATTACTGATGAAGAAAGAAACAATACTCAAGGGAATTGCATGCGGTCTGAGAAGGGATAACATTACTGATGAAGAAAGAAATAATACTCAAGGGAATTACATGTGATATGAGATGGAAAACATTACTGATGAAGAAAGAAATAATACTCAAGGGAATGACATGTGGTCTGAAACGGAAAACATTACTGATGAAGAAAGAAATAATACTCAAGGGAATTGCATGCGGTCTGAGAAGGGATAACATTACTGATGAAGAAAGAAGTAATACTCAAGGGAATAACATGTGGTTTGGGATGGAAAACATTAATGATGAAGAAAGAAATCATGTCCAAGGGAATGATATGCCATATACTTACCAGATGTCATGACCGGTGTAGTCGTTAAAGGAGCTGCTGACGATGTCGTGAAGGAACTGACATGGATGGTGCTACCGATGGTAGTAGTCGTAGCAACTAGCGATGTTGAAGTGGTACTCAGTGTAACCTTGTGACATTCATAACCTTTAATGAAGTCAAACCCGTTTAAACACGTTAAACTACTTTTTAGTCATTCAATGTAATCCATGTGACAGAAAAACGTCAGGGAAAAACATAACGATAGAAATTAAATAAAAAAGTAAGTAAGAAAGAAAGAAATAAGGAAAAAATAAAAAATAAAAAATAAAAAAACAGAAAAGAAAAAAAATAAAAAATAAAAAATAAAAATTAATCGATTCTACTTTGCCATACCCCCGAGACATCCGCAGAGCTGAGGCGTCGTATGGACTTCGGACCTGACGGCGATTAAATCCTTCTGCCCTTGGGTGTACGAATTACGCAAGAAAATGTTCTAGCCGAAGCATCAGGGGAGAGACCA